AGCCTCAAGCAACGTAACGTGCCTTGAAGGCAGGTGGAGAACCCGATGGCCGCTTCACCCTGAAGATCCACATGCCATCGACTATGTTCACCTCAGGTGGGGGAACCTCGTCGACGTAGGTGCCTGTGGACTTCCAGGATGCCATCTCGGCATCCATGGCTGCCTGCCACTCAGAGGAGTAAGGACCCGTCATCGCCTCTGCGTAAGAGCGCGGGGTCGGGATGTCTGGAGCATCCGGGTCTCCCTCAGGGGTAAGCAGCATGGAAGCGAAACGAGGTACAGCAGCTGCAAGAGACTCAAAGTCCTCCTGCCTGTCCTCAAGGACGTCCGTGCTAAGAGCACACTCACCCCCGACAGACAGAGGACTGGCAGACGCAGACTCAACAACAAGAGCAGTGTCGTAGTCTAGACGGCAGGCAGCAGCAAAGTCAAGCAGCTTAGCAACGAGAGCAGATGCAGCAGAAGACTCAAACGAAGAGGCTGTGACAGCAGTGGCAAGGAGACGAGAGAAATGTGGAGAGTCACTCTACAACAGTGGTGAGCTAGACTACAAGGTTGGCACAAACTACTAGGAGTGATCGTAGCTTCCCTAGTTCCTTAGTGCTTGCACAATCACGGGAGAAATCGGCAAGAGTTTCCACAAGCAATGTTGGAATCATGGAATTGTTCAACAAGCAATGACAAGAATGACTACATCAGGCACCTAGCAACTCTGCAACTAGCTTGGTCGACCGCGTGCCAGCGTTGCGTAGAGGAGTCGCGCCAGCACTGCAGAAAGGCGACCTGCTAACACAGCAAGTCGACGGTGTGCCAACGCTGCAGCAGAGCGGCTGTCCAGCGTTGCCCCGTAGAAGACAACAGTGCGCACGCTCGGAGGTGTACGCAGATGATTGGCCTGACTTGCACCGTTGCGCTTCCGTTGGCCTTCGCCTGCGCATGACGAGCCATATCGACTTCAGGATACCAACCCGAAGTCGCCTTCGCCATCGCGATTTCGACGACGTTCGCGTGCCTCCGCAGAACTCGTCGAGCAGGTTACCTGGACGACCTAGACAACCCCAGGTGCTTTGGTCGACCACCAGTTCCCTCTGATCGACCACAACTCCCGTCGAGTTACCCCCCTGGTCGACGGACCCCTTCCGTCGACCAGAACTGTCAGCTGTTGTCGACGAGCGCCCCTCGTCGACGGCTGCTCACTTCTCAGGTCGACGGACTGCTCCGTCGACCTCCCGGTCGAACTGCCCCTCCTGGTCGACGGCCCACCCGTCGCCCAGACCAGTCAGTTACAGCTGTCGAGCTCCCTGGTCGACAATAACACCACAGCGGTCCCCTGCAGTTCGACGAAGCCTGTCGAGCAGCTCTCCCACTATGAATGGTCGGCCGCTACTCCCGTACATCCGACCAAGTCGTCGGCGTTGCCCAAGCGAGGGCGGGGCCAACACTTCATTCCCGTTAACAAGACAGTGGGACTGGCAGCACGAGCACAGTTAGACTCAGGGTCAGGGACCTCAGGAAGAGAGGACTCAGGAGGAGCAGGCAAAGGAACACGTAGAGGAACAGAGGAAGGACCAAGGGTCATAGCGTGCGTGCCAGGGACAGGAGGAGGACGCAAACGAGGAACGCGACGAGCAGTGCAAACAGGCGAGACAGGACTACACGCAGGCTCACGACGCTCGATAAGACCGCCGGTCTGCTCAGTGTAAGGAGAAGGAGCAGGCAGTGGAGAAGCCGGCTGTAACAGCGGCTGTGACTGGTCAGGCGGGGGACACAGGAGGGGAGGAGTAAGGGCAGCAGAAGGCGGGGTACCAAGAACCTGCTGCAGCAGGGGAACGAAGTACGGTCGCGGCCGCACAGCGCCACCAGGGTCAACAGCTCTAGCTCCTCCAGCTCTAGCACCTCCAACACCAGGGCCTCCAACTCCAGCGCCTCCTGCTCCAGGGCCACCAACTCCAGCTCCTCCAGCTCCAGCGCCAGTGCCACCAGCACCATTAGCACCAGAATCCGTAAGGTCTCCAGCTCCAGCACCCTCAACACCACCAGTCCCGGCAGCTCCAGTACCCCGGGTACGAGCACCTCCAGGACCAGTGTCGCAGCACCTCCAGTCACACCAGCTCCAGCAGCAACTCCAGTACCTCCAGCTCCAGCAGGGCTAGCACCTCCAGCGCATGTAGCTCCACTCCGAAGGCGCGTACGCCGAACAAACCACTCACGCAACTGCTGCGGCGATTGGCTCGGCGAAGCACCAGCAGAACCTCCAGATGAAGCAGCACTGTGAGGCTCCGCACCTCCAGACCCCGCACCCCCAGGCTCAACACCCTCAGGCTCAACACCCCCAGGATGACCACCCCCAGTCGCAACACCCCCAAGCTCAACACCCTCTGTCCTAACACCCCCAAGCTCAGCACCCCCAGTCTAAGCACCCTCAGACTCTGCACCCCCAGGCTTCTCACCCCCAGACGCAGCACCCCTAGACGCAGCACCCCCAGACGCAGCACCTCGAGCAGCACCTGAGTCGACAGCTACCTGAACAGGCGCAGGACCAGGGAGAGGGTCTACCTGAGACACACCTAAGGGAGCAGGACCCTGGGGCGGGAGGGGTTCTACCGGAGGGGGACCGGGAGCAAGGAAGAGCGGCGGGGGCGGGAGAGGGGCAGAGCGGTAGGGGAAGAGACGATAAAAGGGAACCGACTCGTCAAACGTGACGTCCTGAGGAGGGAAGACACGGCGCGAGGTGGGGTGGTAAAACTGCCAGCCAGGCAGGTCGGGGACAAAGCCAAGGAGGACGCAGGGGATAGCACAATGGGAGAGCTTGTCCGCGGACGTATCGCGAACAAAGGCACGAGATCCCCAGACCCGGAACACCCACGCATCGCCAAACTCCCCCGTCCAACGCAGTGTGGGCGAGGTCTCCGGCAAGGAGACACGTGGCCAGAGGTTGAGCTGATGCGCAGCATACCGGACCGCAAACGGCCACAGAAAATGGGGAGCAGCCGCATGGATCATCGAGGTACGAGCGATCTCCATGACTAAGCAAATCCGGCGCTCAGCAATCCCATTTTGCTGAGGGGAGTCCGGAAGAGTGAACGACTGGAGAATGCCCTCCCCACGACAAAAGTCCCGCAAGAGGGTGGAGGAGAACTCACCACCTCTGTCAGAGTGCAGACGCAGGACAGGAAGGTCCTGGCCGAACCACTCGCGGAGCTGGAGACGGACTGTGTGGATCCAAGGGATCAAGACATCAACGATCTGACCCTTGCTGCGCAAGGCGAAGACCGTGGTGTACCGCGTGTAGTCGTCAACGACCAGCAGAAAGTAGCGCTCGCGGCTCTGTCTACTGACACGGGCTGGGCCCCACACGTCTATGTGGAGAGTCTGCAGGGGAGCAGTCGTCGGGGGAAACGAGGAGGAGTGAGGAGCGGCGCGCTGCCGCCCCTCGACGCAAGGGAGGCAGGGCGGGGCAGGCGAGGGCGGCAGGGGAGGCAGAGACCTAGGGAGACCAGAGACAAGAAGACGAGAGTGCATGCCACGAAGGCAAGGCAGGGAGGGGTGACCCAGGCGGTGGTGCCACAGAGGAGTCTAGTGCGACAGGAGGCGACACGAGCAAGAGGCGGCTACCTGACCTCACGCGGACACCTGAGCAGACGCAGCTACCTGAGAAGGCTCGGTAGCGAGTGTGTACAGACTCGACCATGGCCGACGGGTGAACGTGGCCAGGTGACGCCCCGTCCGTGTGCACGGGCAGATCGACACACGCTGACCCCCAGGAGTGGTGGTAGTGACCGTCGCATCCTGGAGGGGAGCGGTACTCACCAAGTTCGTAGAGAACGAGGGGAGGTGAAGACCTGATAGTGAGCCGGACGGAACCGCCGGACACGGGAGGACAGTGGAGGAACGGGCCACGACCGGGCCCCCGGAGGGGTCAGCCAGTCTGACCGGGACAGGTGCAGGAAGAGGAGTGAGGGTGGTGCTGTCACAAAAGAAACAAGCAGAGGCGCCGGAGTCCAACGTGAAAGTGTGCAAGGCCTCAGCAGGCAGAGTATCAAGGAGAGTACCAGACTCACTAGCACCTATAGCAACAGCGGCTATACCTGGGTCAGGCGGCACACATCGGTAACAGTCACCCTTAGCACTAACAAACAAAGCATACATAGTAGAAAGAATAGCATCATAGTCTAGAGCAAAGATATCCACACCCTGCCTAACCAGCTCGAGCCAGCGGGGAAGCTCAGCCGCGTCGCCAATCTCTGCACGCCAGGTGTTGCTCAGACAGGAGAAGCAGCGAGACTGTGTGTGACCAACTGTCCCGCAAGTCTGACCAGCCCAGTCACCTGTGCGAATGACGTACGGGCAGCGAGCACTACTCCGAGACGCCCCACGCTGAACGTACCACTCACGAAGCTGCTGAGGCGAAAGGGTCTCGCGCGGACGCCGCTGCAGCTGCAGCAGGCCACCGCCAGGAACTCCCAACGGAATAGCTGCAGAGTGACTGCATTTACTGCCGCCGCCACCACCCCAACTAGTGTACCACTCACATAGCTGCTGGGGTGTAAGGGACTCGCGCTGACGCTGCTGCAGCCGCATCTGGCCACCGCCAGAAACTCCCCACCGAACAGCTCCACAGCGACTGCTAGGACGACCGCCAGCACCCCTGTGAGAATGATAGACGAAAGAATGAGAAACGAGAAAGGATGATTGAACTAGCAAGCAGTTGGATACATATAAAAAACCCTAACAGGGTTGTACTCACTACAGAGTACCCCACTGCAGACTAGAGAAACATAATGTTCTGACACACCCCCATAGTCAAAGTGGGGTATGATCAGCACAACAAGCAAAGCAAAGCAAGCTCAGGGTGGATCACAAAGTCACCACACATTCTGAGCACAAGTACAAGAAGTAACAGTTTAAAGTTCACAATAAATAAGCAAAGCTAGAGGCTATCTCAGAGGGCAAGTGAGGAAGAGGAGGCTGGACTAATAGCTGTCTGTCTGCGCTGCGCCTCACTCACTTCTCCCGCCCCCCCCAGCGGCACCCCTTCGAGCACTACCTGGTGGAGTTCACCCTGGGCGAGGGGGTGTACGAAGAGGTGAGGCAATGAGCTGTTGGAGCTCACCCTGGGAAGAAGAAGGGGGTCTATGAGGAGGTGAGGGGGAAGGTGTGCACGAGGCGAGGACTATCCGTTCGTAGGACGCCTGACCGGCCCTAATGGGTGGGCTGAAGAGCGGGGATACCGGCGCCACCAGGTGGGTGGTGCCTCAACCGCAACCCGTCTCAGGCTCGACCACACAGCGACTTGTCGCAGGCGGTCGCCGCCGGAGGCACACGAGGCAGACGGGGTCGGGGACAACCACTAGGGGACCCACGCCAGGATTCGTCTTGGTGGCGAGGTACCTCCAGTGGTACATGCCCCGGCACCAGAGCCGACTGTGGGGGTTACGTGTTACCTTCCCCTCTGAAGCCAACGCCCATCCGGGTACGGCTGTCCCCGAAACGGGGCACGCGCTTATGGTGATCGATGGGGGTTTTGGCGACTAAACGCACAGCCGGTATAATGCTGCTTACCGAAGCGCCTTCTCCCTACGGGGGGTTGGTTTCCTCCGGGGATCTCCTTAAAGCCCAAAAAAAAAAAAAAAAAAAAAAAAAGGACGCCTGACCACCTCTGCCTTCCGCCCCCTCATTCCAACTGCTCTTCCCACTGCCTTCCCTTACTGTGGCCTTCAGCTTTTCTTTTGAGTCGACTCGTTTCCCCCGTGCCGTCACCTCTTTCCTCACATCGCCCGTGTCCACATCGCCCGTGTCCACATCGCCCGTGTCCACATCGCCCGTGTCCACATCGCCCGTGTCCACATCGCCCGTGTCCACATCGCCCGTGTCCACATCGCCCGTGTCCACATCGCCCGTGTCCACATCGCCCGTGTCCACATCGCCCGTGTCCACATCGCCCGCGTCCACATCGCCCGTGTCCACATCGCCCGTGTCCACATCGCCCGTGTCCACATCGCCCGTGTCCACATCGCCCGTGTCCACATCGCCCGTGTCCACATCGCCCGTGTCCACATCGCCCGTGTCCACATCGCCCGTGTCCACATCGCCCGTGTCCACATCGCCCGTGTCCACATCGCCCGTGTCCACATCGCCCGTGTCCACATCGCCCGTGTCCACATCGCCCGTGTCCACATCGCCCGTGTCCACATCGCCCGTGTCCACATCGCCCGTGTCCACATCGCCCGTGTCCACATCGCCCGTGTCCACATCGCCCGTGTCCACATCGCCCGTGTCCACATCGCCCGTGTCCACATCGCCCGTGTCCACATCGCCCGTGTCCACATCGCCCGTGTCCACATCGCCCGTGTCCACATCGCCCGTGTCCACATCGCCCGTGTCCACATCGCCCGTGTCCACATCGCCCGTGTCCACATCGCCCGTGTCCACATCGCCCGTGTCCACATCGCCCGTGTCCACATCGCCCGTGTCCACATCGCCCGTGTCCACATCGCCCGTGTCCACATCGCCCGTGTCCACATCGCCCGTGTCCACATCGCCCGTGTCCACATCGCCCGTGTCCACATCGCCCGTGTCCACATCGCCCGTGTCCACATCGCCCGTGTCCACATCGCCCGTGTCCACATCGCCCGTGTCCACATCGCCCGTGTCCACATCGCCCGTGTCCACATCGCCCGTGTCCACATCGCCCGTGTCCACATCGCCCGTGTCCACATCGCCCGTGTCCACATCGCCCGTGTCCACATCGCCCGTGTCCACATCGCCCGTGTCCACATCGCCCGTGTCCACATCGCCCGTGTCCACATCGCCCGTGTCCACATCGCCCGTGTCCACATCGCCCGTGTCACCTCTTTCCTTTCATCCCCGCCAGGTGCTCTCTCGGGTGGACGCCCTGCGCAAGAGGGTGCTGGACGTGGGCAAGAACGCTGCCAGCCTCGTCAACAAGGTGGGTGCTGTGCGGTGCTGTGCAGTGCCTGCCTTTCTCTGCTGTGTGCTGCTGCTGGTGCAGCTACCTTTGTAGCCCTTATCCACATTGCCATGGAGCTATTCCATGTGGAAACTGTTGTCCTTCTCGTGGGAAAGAAGGCAGACAGCCTTGTTAGCATGGTGCTCACACACTCAGACTCCGTCCTTTATTCGTACCAACCTTTTTTGTGGAAGTAAGTAGTTTCTGCTGCGGAAATCAATAGTTTGTTTGTTGTGCTCACTGTGCACTAGCATGCGTCTGAGCCAATGGCTCGGCTCGGCTTGCCCAACCTGACTAGCCAAGCCGATTTTTCTACCAAGTTGGCTCGACTCGAGTCGAGCCGAGCTAGCTCAAAGAACCATGACCCAGATTTGCTGGTTTGTCAGCTTGTGGGCTTGTTCGCCTGTAGGCTGGTCGGCTCATTGAGCTTGCGCTTATCGCCCAAGACGGCTCAGCGAGCCTCGCCAGGCTTGTCAATCACCCTGTGCTTATGTGTGTGTAGCATGGCACAAACGTGGGCTGCACACATGGGCTGCACACATGGGCTGCACACATGGGCTGCACACATGGGCTGCACACATGGGCTGCACACATGGGCTGCACACATGGGCTGCACACATGGGCTGCACACATGGGCTGCACACATGGGCTGCACACATGGGCTGCACATGTGGGCTGCACACATGGGCTGCACATGTGTCCTGCGCATGCCCGGTCTCTTACTGTCATTCTGGCACTCACAGTGTGGAAGCCCTTTTCTGTTTAATGCCCTGTCCCATGCAGACAAGCACCGTGAAGGAGGCGGAGCAGGCCACAGTACAGGTACTCTCATGCTCCCTTGCTGCTGGGCTGTCTGTATGTATGGCATGATGGCATGATGGCATGATGGCATGATGATGGCAGTATGGCATGATGGCATGATGGCATGATGGCATGATGATGGCATGATGGCATGATGGCATGATGATGGCATGATGGCATGATGGCATGATGATGGCATGATGGCATGGTGATGGTGGCATGATGATGGCATGGTGATGGTGGCATGATGATGGCATGATGATGGTGGCATGATGATGGCATGATGGTGGCATGATGGCATGATGGAAGCAGCACTTTAGGTCGGAGTGAAGCACATGTGCTTCACTGTGCTAGGCCATGCAATGCCCCCCATGGACCTTGGCTGTCTGGCCCCCATGGACCTCCGCACTAGCTTGGCTTGGCACCCAGTTTCCGCTTTCATCCCGTAACCTCTTTGGTTCACAGCTAGTTGTTTCCCCTCTGCTGTCCCTGCCTGCGGCACCCAGCTCATAATCAGGGCGTGCTGAGCTGAAGCACCCATACATGCGCAACACCCTCTTCCCAACGCCCTCTTTCCTTTCCTTACGCTTTACCCCTCCTGCTTCAATTCTTGTCCTGCGTCACCCAGTGCGAACTTTCCCTTCCTCGCTGCCCCTCCCTGCTCCACCCCTCCCTGCTCTACCCCTCCCTGCTCCACCCCTCCCTGCTCCACCCCTCCCTGCTCCACCCCTCGCACCATCAGGGCATGGCACAGGTGGAGGAGCTGTACACGCGCAACAGCCTCTCTGCCGCGGCGCCCACTTTCCCTTTCTTGCTTTCGCTCCTTGCTTCTCCTCCCTTGCTCAGGGCATGGCACAGGTGGAGGAGCTGTACACGCGCAACAGCCATGTGGTGGAGCGACTCAAAGATATCACCAAGGTCAGTGCTGCTGCTGCACTTGACTTGTGAGTCGACTCAAAGGCGCAGCAGCCATGTGGTGGTGGGGCGACTCAAAGACATCACCAGGGTCAGTCACTCACTGCTGCTGCTGCTGCCGCTGCTGCTGCTGCAACTTCCTGGTAAGTTCCACCACAGCACCTCTATGTCAGACGGCCGTTGTGGTCAACATTTTGGTGGCCATCTCAAGTTATGTTGCTGCCACCGCTTCTGTGCCTGCCATCACTCTTCCCCCTGCTCCCTCCCCGCCCTGCCTGCAACCTCCGTGCCGCAGAGGCTGCGAGCCATACCTGCGGCCGGACCTGCCCACGCTGTGCCTGGTGGGGGCGCCCAACGTGGGCAAGTCGTCGCTCGTGCGTGCCATCTCCTCTGGCAAGCCTGAGGTGCGTGGGTGTGGGTGTGTGTGTTTGTGTGTGTGCATGTGCGAGTATGTCTCGTGTGTGGCTGTGCCTGGTGGGGGCGCCCAACGTTGGCAACTCATTGCTAGTGCGCACCAGCTCATCCGGCAAGCCTGAGGTGCGTGGGTGTGTGTGGGGGCCTGTGGGAGGGGGGGAAGAATTGGGGGATGGGGGAGGGGGTGTGCGGGGAAGGGGGGGGGGGGGGGGGCTCTGCGTGCAACTACCCATTACTGTGTGTGCCTTGTTGTGCTGTGCGCAACTGCCGGTCACTTCTTCCTTTCATGCATGCATGTCTGTGTGCATGCATGTCTGTGTGCATGCATGCAGGTGTGCAACTACCCATTCACCACGCGGGGCATCAGCATGGGGCACTTCTATGTGGATGACGAGAAGCACCAGGTCAGTGTGTGGTGCAGGGTGCATGGTCTAGGATGCATGGTCTAGGGTGCATGGTCTAGGGTGCATGGTCTAGGATGCATGGTCTAGGGTGCATGGTCTAGGGTGCATGGTCTAGGATGCATGGTCTAGGGTGCATGGTCTAGGGTGCATGGTCTTGGGTGCATGGTCTAGGGTGCATGGTCTAGGGTGCATGGTCTAGGGTGCATGGTCTAGGGTGCATGGTCTAGGGTGCATGGTCTAGGGTGCATGGTCTAGGGTGCATGGTCTAGGGTGCATGGTCTAGGGTGCATGGTCTAGGGTGCATGGTCTAGGGTGCATGGTCTAGGGTGCATGGTCTAGGGTGCATGGTCTAGGGTGCATGGTCTAGGGTGCATGGTCTAGGGTGCATGGTCTAGGGTGCATGGTCTAGGGTGCATGGTGCATATGGTGCTTGCACCATCAGGTGCTATTCAAAGGAATTGCACATAGTTTTCACTGGCAGGAGTGCCGGCAAGTGCATGCGAGCACCATTTCGTTTTCTTGGTCAAACCTGGCTCTGCATAATCGCTCTCACCGTCGTCCTTGCTTTTGTCTGCTGCCGTTTCTGCCGATGTGCCTTCATTCACTTCCAAGCTCAAATCGGTTCGTTTGCCTCGCTCTGCTCCTCCCTCCCATCCCACCACTGTCAGGTCACAGACACACCCGGCCTGCTCTCCCGCCCTGATGGTACTCACCCTCCTCCTAGTGCTCCCTCTTTGCCTTGGGAGATATTGTTCTGTTTTGAGCCACTCTCGCTCCTGCCTACTCTCCTGCACCCTCTCCTGTTCCCTCTCCTGTTCCCTCTCCTGTTCCCTCTCCTGTTCCCTCTCCTGTTCCCTCTCCTGTTCCCTCTCCTGTTCCCTCTCCTGCATCACCTCATGATTGCAGCAGCACAACTCTTTCAGCCATTGCCACACTCATCCAGTTTCATATGCTCCACTGCCCATGTTCCGTTCCCTGTACTACGTGGCCCATACTCTTCTCTCCTTCTCCCGTTTCTCATGCATCGTTCTTCCCGGCCTGCTTTTGTCGTACCCTCGCCCTGCCTTTGTCCTGCCCTCGTCCCCAGAGCAGCGCAACAGCATCGAGCTGCTCACCATAGCAGCCATCACCCATCTGCCCACCGCTGTGCTCTTCGTGCATGACCCCTCGGAGGAGTGTGGTGTCAACCGGTTGAAGCAGGTGAGGAGTGCGGTGTCAACCGGTTGAAGCAGGTGAGGAGTGCGGTGTCAACCGGTTGAAGCAGGTGAGGAGTGCGGCCATGTTAACCTTGTTTTCCGCAGTCCATCCTACCGCACTGCACTGCTCTCTACCCAATTTCACCTTGCATGCAGTCAGTTGTTCCTCATTCCATCCTACCCTTGTTGGCCTCATTGCATTTGTAGCTCCTTGCACTCATTGCCTTTGCACTTAATCACCACCGTTCCCCTACCCTTGCCAGTATCAATTGTACCGCGAGATAAAGACGAGATTTTCCGACCGCGTGTGGATCGACGTGATATCCAAGTGTGACCCGCCTGCTGCTGCTCCCACGGAGGAGCCTCCAGGTGGCCAATCAGAGGAGGCGGATGGGGATAGAAGAAGTGCGGGCCTCGCAGACTTGCTTCCAGAGGGGGCGAGTGAGAATGGACGGAGGGAGGGCGAGGAGGGCATGGGCTCTGGTGGAGAGGCTAGTGATATTACCGAGGGCAGACACACAGGCGGCAGCAACCGCAGTGATTCGGATAGGAGGGAAACCACTGTGGTGCTGCTGGGTGAAGTCGAGGCAGCGAGGGAAGCACATGGGGGGGAGAACGCAGAGGTAGCGGTGACAGCAGCAAGTGTGGCGGCGTGGGAGGAGTACAAGGCTCACGGTGGGCCTGCTGCCGCCCTGAGAGTGTCAACTGTGGCAGGTGTTGGTGTGGAGGAGGTGAGAGGCGGGTGTTGGTACGGAGGAGGTGAGAGGCGGGTGTTGGTGTGCAGGAGGTGAGAGGCGGGTGGCTTGGGCTTGATTGGGGCAGGCAGGCATGGCTGCATTGCACCGTTCATTCAAGTCCGCGCATTGGTTCTGTGAGGCAAAGCCACGTGCCTTGTGTACCAGGCCTAGCCTAGACTCTTCTTCCGTTGCTGCTCCATCCTCTACATTTTTTGCATCTCTCTCAACACGCTTTCCCCCTCATCATTCTTTCCTCCTCTTCCCTTGTGTACCATCTTCGCATGCTTCTCCCTCCATGCACCCGCGCCCTTGTACCAGTTGGTGCCAGGGCATGCTGTGTGCCTATGCTTCATCCTCTGCCTTTCCCCTGTGTGCCTTTTCAACATTCTATATCTTCCCCACCCATGCACTCTCACCTGTGCACCCATGCGAGTTGGTGCAGGCCATACAGGCCATGCTGTGTTCCTATGCTTCATCCTCTGCCCATGCTTCCCATGCGCACCCACCCCTGTGCCAGTTGGTGCAAACCATACAGGCCATGCTGTGTGCCCACTTTCTTGGATCTGCTGACTCATCCCTGCCTGCATCGCTCGTCGCCCCGCCCACTGCCACTCCCTCACAATCCCTGCCGGCCACTCAACCGGCACACACGGAAGGTTCCACGCTGTTTCTGGAAGATGCTGCAGGGCAAAGTTCTAGGCACAGTTTGGAGGCCTCGGAGGGAGAAAATGCTACTGGTGGTGGGTCGGGCAAAGCAGGGAAGAAGGGCAAAGCTAGTGACTTCTATTACCCTCCACTGCCTTCTCACATGATGAAAGGTGCATGACATCGCATCACATCCCTTGACGTCATTTCTACTCCTGTCGTGATAATTGTACCAGTATGTTACAGTTAATCATTCTTCTGGAAAATCTTCATGATTCAGAAGGTGTTAGCACAGGGAGGGAGGTGATTGAGGAACAGCAGAGCAGAGCCTTGTTGGATGTGAGTTTTCGCAATCTTGGCCGTGCCAGAAATTTGTTGTGCATTTGTAGGGAATTTTCCCGAATTCCTTATCGGGGTTGACTGCTTCGCGTACAGCCCCGATTTTCGGACTCTGCACGTTTGGCCGACATCAACGATGCCGAGCCTCCTCGCGTCGCCTTCGGCTTTTCTCTTCGCCAAACCTACACCCAACCTCACTCACCCGAAGTTCCCTCCTAGCTAGCCTAGTCACTATATTAGCGTGTGCCTTCATTGTAAAATCAATCTGTTCAATCACCTTCTCGTTATTCGTTAACCTGCGCACTCTCTTTTACAACTCATAACACCTGGTATTAGAGCTACTTTCCTAGTTCACCCCGCTTTTCGAGGGTAGTTTGGTGGCACGGGTTGGCTGGTATAAGTGGACTACACGACGGTTGGCCGCAAGGTTTGTTAATTCAAACCTGCCCGACTACGATAGTTCGTGTTTTCCACTTTGCCTGAAAGCCACGGAGACCCGCTTGCCCACCCGACGCAGTGCTCGACACATAGATCAAGAGGCGGTTAACAGACTTATGGCGCAAGTGGCAGAAATGCAAGAGGGCATGAAGACATTAATGGCGGAAGTGACAACAGTACGTGGCGAAAACGCCGAGCTACGCCAGGCGCGAGGTGAAGCGCGCCAGGAGTCGCCCGATGACGAAGGTGAGGGCAACAGTCAAGCAGTGAGCAACCCGTTGGACTCGCTCACACGTGACTTCGAAGAAGAGGACAGGCAGCGAGCGGCATCAGCACCAGTTGCAGTAACGACGATCAAGATTAAACCCGTCAACCCGAAACCGTTTAATCCTACGGACAAGACGACTACAGTAAAAGGGTGGTTGTTCGGAGTTGAAGTCTTTTTCACTGCAGCAGGTGTGACCGATGATGTCATGCGTAGTAATTATGCCGTGTCCCTTCTCCGAGGCGCAGCGCTTGAGTGGTGGCGCCGAACCCTAGAAACAGGGACCCCGACAGGTGTGACACATGCGGCAGACGAGACCTCAACAGTGACTAATCAAGTGGCAGAGTCGATCTTCGGAGTGACCAAGATACGCACATGGCGAGAGTGGGGCGCAGCCTTACAAGATCGCTTCGAGCATGTATCTGCCTCGGAGCAAGCTCGCATGAAGCTGCGTGCCTGGTCGCAGATGGCATCTGTCCAAGACTACACGGCGTCATTTATGGGCCTCGCCGACCAAGTGGGTGACATGTCGGAAGCAGAGCGGTTGGATAAATACATCAACGGCCTAAAATACGAGATTCAATACGAGGTCCGCAGGAGCCGTTCGACAACATTCCTGGAAGCAGTACGGCTGGCGGAGTCAACTGATGCGCTGATGCAGTATGCGAGAACAGCTTCCCGGGAGGGAATCCGTTTTCGTGGCCAGACCAATCGGGCCACGATCAACGTCGTCCATACACCCGACCGCCCTCCTAAGGGACCGTGTTATCGGTGTGGGAAGATGGATCACTTAATGCGCGACTGCCAGGAGAAAAAGCCGCTGACGGGGAACGACCGGAAGGAGCAGGGAAATGGGAAAAGTCAGTAATTAGCGGGCCCTTTATTGACTATGCTCCGTCGCCCGAACACCACCATCCCCACCGAGTCGTGGTTCCGATTCATGCAATCGATCGCACTCGGCTGAATAATGGGGATACTCATGTGGATCACCCTGTGCTGGTCGCTGGCAAGGTGTTAAAAAATCACTTAAAAATGTTCGTCGATGGAGGGGCCAGCCATAGCCTCTTCAACCTGGCGACAGCAAAAAAATGCAAGCTGCAACTTGACAGGTGTCTGCCCGAAATCGACGCTCGCCTCGTGGATGGGACGCCTCTGGCGATACTGGAAGAAACACGGACGGTTCGGATTGAATGCGGCGACGATTTCGGCTTCAGCATGAAGTTCCTCGCGACGACACTGGATGGCTGTGACGTGCTGTTGGGACGTGATTGGCTGCGACGACACAACCCCGTCATCGACTGGACAACGGGATCGTGCTGCATCAACAAGTACGAGGGGCTAATTAAGCTGCCTGCATGGACACCTGACTACATCCAAGCCCCGTGCGTCAAAGCTATCACTATAGCTCGACACTTCAACAAGGGCGCACAGCTATTCGCTGTTTGCTTACGCGAGTTGACGGTGGACACCGACGGAAAGGACATCGAGAAGCTGTGTGCAGCTGTACCACCGGACTTAGCGGAGCTGATTCGACAGTACCCCGACATCTTCCCCGACGATCTGCCACCTGGACTACCACCCGAGCGACCTGAGGACCACAAAATCCAGCTGGAGCCTGGCGCGCAGCCGACTGTTCGGACACAGTGGCGGTTGACCCAACCGGAACTCGAGGAGTTGCGAAGTCAAATTGATGCACTGTTGGAGAAAGGATTCATCTGAGCCAGTACATCTCCCTTCGCCGCACCGATCCTCTTCACTCCGAAAAAAAATGGCGGGCTTCGTATGTGCATCGACTATCGCGCGCTCAACCGGGTGACAATCAAGTCTCGCTACCCAATCCCACACACCGACGACCACCTTGACCAAATTCGCGGAGCTCGATATTTCTCGAAGATTGACTTACGCGGTGGTTACCACCAAATCCGAATCTTCGCCGACGACTGCCACAAGACCGCGTTTTGCACCCGCTACGGAAGTTACGAATTCACCGTGATTCCTTTCGGCCTCACGAACGCGCCTTCGACTTTTCAGTTGACCATGAACAAGGTTTTTTCGGGATCTTCTAGATCGATGCGTCATCGTCTACTTGGACGATATCCTCATTTTTAGCAAGACACGGGAGCAACATCCCCGCGACCTTGACGCAATGTTTAAAAGGTTGCAGGAGAATCGACTCATCACCAAGGGCTCTAAGTGCGAGTTTTTTAAGCAAGAGTTGGAGTTTTTGGGACACGTTATTTCGCGCGACAGCATTAAAATCGACCTGGCGAAAATCAAGACCATACAGGAGTGGAAGCCCCCGACGAACATCACGGAACTACAGAGTTTTCTGGGATTCGTGAATTACGTCCGGCGGTTTATCCCGAATATGGCGAGGATAACCAGCCCGCTAACCGACCTGCTGCACAAAGACAGGAATTTTGTGTGGGGGGAGGAGGCAGAAGCGGCTTTCCAGGAGTTGAAAAATTTCCTGGTTTCCCCTCCTGTGCTGCGCATCGCCGACCCATCGAGGCCGTTCGAAGTCGTCACTGTCAGAATGTATTTGCTGTCTAGCCTGCAGTGGGGTACTCTGTAATGAGTACAACCCAATATAGGGTGTTGTACTTGTATCCCAACTCTTGCTAGTGAAACCCCTCATTCTCCTTTCCAATTCTCTCGACACTCAATTCTCTCGACACTCAATTCTCTCGAAACTCACTAGCCATGGCTCCTAACTCACGCTAGTATTCTAACATGGTATTAAGAGCATAACTTTCCTAGGACCTAATGTCAATGGGCCCACCACCTACTGCCCTGCTAGTCTAGGCCCCGGCCCGTCGCCCCTTGGCGTTGCCCCTAGCCCCTAGGCTCGGCCCCTTGGCCCCGTCGCCTCGGCCCCTTGGCCCCGTCGACTCCGTCGCCCCACGCCCGGCCCGTACTTAGCCCGCGATCGACCCGTACCTAGCCCGCACTCGGCCCTGTTCCTAGCCCCGCGCCCGGCCCGTACCTCGCCCGCGCCTGGCCCTGTAACTAGCCCGCGATCGGCCCGTACCTAGCCTCGCGCCCGGCCCGTACTTAGCCCGCGCTCGGCCCCGTTCCTAGCCCCGCGCCTGGCCCGTACCTCGCCCGCGCCTGGCCCCGTACCTAGCTAGCGCCCGGCCACGTCCCTAGCCATGGCCCCGTCGCCCCTAGCCATGGCCCCGTCGCCCCTAGCCATGGGCCCTCGCGACCTGCCGCCCCTAACTGCGGCCCCGGTGCCCTGTTGCAACATGGTGGGTGAGGGGATGGCAAGAGGGGGTTCCTCCTGCCCGCGTGCCCTACAGTCGCACGCGCAGCTCCGCCCTCGCCCCCCTCCCCCCCCTCCCCCCCCTCCATGGGGATGGCGAGGAGAGGGTGTGAGGGGGTGGCGGATGTGCCTCAGCAGCAGCAGCTGCCGCCACGCCTCCTCCTCTCTCTCTCCCTGCTGCACCTTGTGGTGGGAGAGGGAGGGGACCTGCAGCACCAGCGAGGGGGAGGGGAGTTGCAGCATCAGCCCCCCCCCCCGCCCACTTCTCCTCCACCCCCCTGCTGCGGGTGCAGCGGTGGGGGTGAGGGGATCTGCAGCCCTGTGCTGCCCTGCAGCCCTGCGCGCCCTGCGCGCCCTGCTGTCCTGCTGCCCTGCGCGCCCTGCGCGCACTGCAGCCCTGCGCGCCCCGCGCGCCCTGCTGCCCTGTTTGCCCCTCGCACCCTGCTGTCCTGCTGCCCTTCGCGCCATGCGCGCCCTGCAGCCCTGTGCGCCCCGCGCGCCCTGCTGCCCTGCAGCCCTGTGCGCCCTGCTGCCCTGCTGCTGCCGCTACAGCCCTTGCTGTTGCCCCTACAGCCCTTGCTGCTGCCCTGCGCGCCCCGCGCGCCCTGCAGCCCTGCTGCGCCCCGCGCGCCCTGCTGCGCCCCGCGCGCCCTGCTGCCCTGTGCGCCCCGCACGCCCTGCAGCCCTGCGCGCCCCGCGCGCCCTGCTGTCCTGCTGCCCTGCGCGCCCTGCGCGCACTGCAGCCCTGCGCGCCCCGCGCGCCCTGCTGCCCTGCAGCCCTGTGCGCCCTGCTGCCCTGCAGCCCTGTGCGCCTTGCTGCCCTGTTTGCCCCGCGCGCCCTGCTGCCCTGCAGCCCTGTGCGCCCTGCTGCCCTGCAGCCCTGTGCGCCCTGCAGCCCTGCGCGCCCCGCGCGCCCTGCTGCCCTGCAGCCCTGTGCGCCCTGCTGCCCTGCAGCCCTGTGCGCCCTGCTGCCCTGTTTGCCCCGCGCGCCCTGCTGCCCTGCAGCCCTGTGCGCCCTGCTGCCCTGCTGCCCTCTGCACCCCGCGCGCCCTGCTGCCCTCTGCACGCGCCATGCACAGCCCCCCCCCCCCCCCCCCCCCCCCCCCCCTTCTCCTCCATCCCCTGCTGCAGGTGCAGCAGTGGGGGGAGGGTATGGGGGTGGCGGGTGTGTGAACCGTCCCCTGCTCCTCCTCCTCCTCCGTCTCCCACTGCTGCAGCTGCCGCTGAGGGGGGTGGGTGTGTGGGAGCCGAGGGAGTGGTGCTAGGGGGGTGACGTGGGAGTGGAGCTAGGGGTGCAGCAAGGGGTGTGTGAAAGGGGGGTGGGCCAGTTGGGGGAGGTTGAGCGGAGGTAGCCGTCGTGTCGCCAGCAGCGCCAGTAGTCCGGGGGTTGAGTACTCCGGTAGCCCAGCGAGCCTGCTGCGCCAGTCGCCCGTGGGTCCGTTGCTCCTGCCGCTCAGTGTTAGCCGCAGAGCCAGTTACTCCTGTAGTCCGGGGATACGGCCCCGGTAGCCACAGTGCGCGCCGCTCCTGTTGCCCGAGTGTCTGCAGCATCAACAGTCGCCTCCTATCTCCTCTCCTCTCATAGTCCAGCCTCCTCCTCACTTGCCCTTTGTGTATGCCTCTAGCTTTGCTTGTACTTGTGAACCTGCTCTATGACTGCTTGCTCTGCTGATTATACCCGATTTTGACTATGGGGGTGTGTCAGAATGTATTTGCTGTCTAGCCTGCAGTGGGGTACTCTGTAATGAGTACAACCTAATTTAGGGTGTTGTACTTGTATCCCAACTCTTGCTAGTGAAACCCCTCATTCTCCTTTCCAATTCTCTCGACACTCAATTCTCTCGACACTCACTAGCCATGGCTCCTAATTCACGCTAGTATTCTAACAGTCACCAACGCCTCCGATTTCGCGATCGGAGCTGTGCTACTCCAGGATTTCGGGAACGGACTGCAGCCGATAGCTTACGAGTCACGCAAGCTGCACGCAGCCGAGTGCAACTACCCGATTCACGACAAGGAAATGCTCGCCATTATCCACGCATTCAAACTGTGGCGATGCTACCTGGTAGGCGCTGACGTCACTGTTCGCACGGACCACAAGTCCCTCCAATATCTGCGAGCTCAACCCAACCTCAACCCGCGACAAATTCGGTGGCTGGACTACATGGAGAGCCACTTCACCTACCGCATCACGTACAAGAAGGGGGCAAATAAATTGCCGACGCCCTGACCCGACCAACAGTACAATCCGCTGCAGTACTCGTTCACCACTCGAACCCATTACTTACCGGACTTTTCACCCACGGCTACACTACGGACCCGTTCTTCACGACTGGGAACCACCAGCAAGCCACGACACAGAAAGGGGATTATTACCTAAAAGCCGGAACTGACCGGATTTGGGTTCCTGCTTACCGGCTGCTGCGTGAACTCCTTATCGAAGAAGTCCACGATTCCAACTTCTCCGGACATTTCGGGTTTGATAAAACCCAGAAATTACTGTACCGTCACTATTATTGGCCTGACTCCTCTAACGACGTGCAGCGATATGTGTCCTCATGCAGGGTGTGCCAGGCCATGAAATCGACACGTCAACGGCCAGCTGGGCTGCTGTCAAAGTAACGAACGAGAATGAATGAACTAGCAAAGATTTGGGTACAAGTACTAACCCTAATTGGGTTGTACCCCTTATGGGCTACCCCAATACAGCCTACACAAATGTATAAGCTATAATGTTCTGACACACCCCCATAGGCAAAGTGGGGGAGAACAAGTGGTCACAAGACCAGTCAAGAAAAGAAAAGTAAGCTCAGGGTGGATCACAAAGTCACCACACAGTCCGAGCACAAGCAAAGGGCCACAAGGCCAGTTCACATGCAGTGTTACATATAAAAGAGAAACAAACAATACAGTGATCATACCCTAGCAAGTGCAAGCAAGCAGGTATATATATAGATCACAGTACAAGCAAAGTCACGCAGTAAGCAAGTGAGGGAAGGTAGGCACAAGGCCTAACACAGTAGAGAAGCGCTGATGATCACAAGGCGGAAGTGCCTTGGTGAATATATCAGCAGTGTTGGCCCTAGTGGCCACATACGCAAAACGAAGCTGGCCACACTGCTGCAAATCTCGAGCAAGGAAGTATCGCAGAGCGATGTGCTTTGTTCTGTGCTCCAGTCTGTGCTCCTGACACAAGGCAATCATGGCCTTGTTATCTACGTACAGAACTGGAGGCGAACGAGACTGCTCTCCCAAGTCGGTTAGCAGGTAGGTGAGCCAGCGTAGCTCCTGTGCAGCCATGGCCCCGGCGTAGATCTCAGCCTCACAACTGGAGCTGAGAAGCGAAGACGAGCGGGTAGACCGCTAAGAAACAGAGCCGGAGCCAAGACTGAAGGTGTAACCCTGTGACGACCGTTGCGTAGATGAGTCGTCCACCCAGGAAGCGTCTGCGTGACCGGTGAGGACAACTGGACCCCGTCCTCCAAGCACGAGCCCCATGCCCGACGTACTGCACAAGTAACGCAGTACCCTCTTCGCAGCATCCCAGTGCACCTTTCGGTGCCTGCCGGGAGCCACGTAGCGAGCCAGGATGCTGAGAGGGTACGCGAGGTCGGGTCGAGTGCACGTCATCAGGTACATGAGGCAACCCACAAGCTCTGGGTACGGACCACTCGGTTCTACGGACTCGTTCGAAGGTGGAGCTGAGAGCGAGTGGCTGGTAGACAGAGGAGTGAGCTGTGGCGAGGAGAACTGGAAGTCGAAGCGCTGAAGGACCTGGTGCACCATGTGTGACTGAGTCAGGGTAATGGTGCGCCGAGCTCTGTCCCGGGTGATCTGCAAGCCAAGATAGCTGCGCAGTTCACCCAGGTTAGTGCAGGTATGTCTCTTTTGCAGCTCCGACTTCACAAGAGGCAGTGCGTCAGTGTCAGCAGTGGCAAAGACGAGGTCGTCAACGTAGACAAGAACGTAGAATGGCGGCAGCGAGGTTTTGGTGCGTAGAAACAACGACGGGTCAGCAGTAGCAGGAGCAAACCCAAGAGCCGCAAGTGTAGTCCTCAGTGTGTCGTGCCACCCGCGAGGCGCCTAGCGAAGACCGTAGACAGGCCGGCGGAGGCTCCACTTAGTACTTGCAGGAAAAGACTAAGTGAAACCAGGTGGGCGGCGCAACCAGATCTCCTCGTGCAGGCTGCCCTGCAGGAAAGCTGTGCTGAAGTCCAGAGAGTGCAACTCGTAGTCACGCTGAGCAGCAACGTGCAGCAACACCCGAAGAGTAGTCATCTTCGGGGGGGGGGGGGAGGAAGGTCTGGAAGTAGTCAACTCCCTGTCGCTGACTGAAGCCTCTAGCAACGTAACGCGCCTTGAAGGCAGGCGGAGAACCCGGCGGTCGCTTCACCCTGAAGATCCACATGCCATCGACTATGTTCGCCCCAGGTGGGGGAACCTCGTCGACGCAGGTGCCTGTGGACTTCCAGGATGCCATCTCGGCATCCATGGCTGCCTGCCACTGAGAGGAGTAAGGACCCGTAATCGCCTCTGCGTAAGAGCGCGGGGTCGGGATGTCTGGAGCATCCGGGTCTCCCTCAGGGGCAAGCAGCATGGAAGCGAAACGAGGTACAGCAGCTGCAAGACACTCAAAGTCCTCTTGCCTGTCCTCAAGGACGTCCATGCCAAGAGCACACTCACCCCCGACGGACGGAGGACTGGCAGACGTAGACTTAGCAACAAGAGTAGTGGCGTAATCTAGACAACAGGCAGCAGCAAAGTCAAGCCGCTCAGCAACGAGAGCAGACGCAGCAGCAGACTCAAAGGAAGGGTCAGTGACAGCAGTAGCGAGGAGACGAGAGACAACGGGACTGGCCGTACGAGTGCGGTCAGACTCAAGGTCAGGGACCTCAGGAAGAGAGGACTCAAGAGGAAGGAGAGGAACGCGTAGAGGAACAGAGGAAGGACCAAGGGTCATAGCGTGCGTGGCAGGGACAGGAGGAGGACGCGAACGAGGAACACGACGAGCAGTGCGAACAGGCGAGACAGGACGAGACGCAAGCTCACGACGCTCTGTAAGACCGCCAGACTGCTCAGTGTAAGGAGAAGGAGAAGGCAGTGGAGAGGCCGGCTATAACGGCGACTGCGACTGGTCAGGCGGGGGACAAAGGAGGGGAGGAGTAAGGGCAGCAGAAGACGGGGTACCAAGAACCTGCTGGAGCAGGGGAACAAAGTACGCTCGCGGCCGCACAGTGCCACCAGGGTCAACAGCTCCAGCTCCTCCGGCTCCAGCACCTCCAACACCAGGGCCTCCAACTCCAGGGCCTCCAGCGCCAGGGCTACAAACTCCAGCTCCTCCAACTGCAGCGCCACCAGCGCTAGTAGGACCAGACTCCGTAAGGTCTCCAGCTCCAGCACCCTCAACACCACCAGTCCTGGCAGCTCTAGTACCCCTGGTACGAGCACCTCGAGGACCAGTGGTCGCAGTACCTCCAGTAACACCAGCTCCAGCAGCAACTCCAGGACCTACAGCTCTATCAATGCCAGCACCTCTAGCTCCAGAAGCTCCACTCCGAAGGCACGTACGCCGAACAAACCACTCACGCAACTGCTGTGGAGACAGTCTCGTCGAAGCACCAGCAGAACCTCTAGACGAAGCAGCACCCTGAGGCTCCTCACCTCCAGACTCCGCACCCTCCGACGCAGCACCCCCAGGCTCAACACCCCCAGGCTCAACACCCTCAGGCTCAGCACCCCTAGTCGCAACACCCCCAGGCTCAGCATCCCCAGTCTCAACACCCCCAGGCTCAGCACCCCCAGTCTCAGCACCCTCAGACTCCGCACCCCCAGGCTCCGCACCCCCAGACGCAACACCTCGAGCAGCACCGGAGTCGACAGCTACCTGAACAGGCGCTGGACTAGAGAGAGGGTCTAGCTGAGACACACCTGAGGGAGCAAGACCCTGGGGCGGGAGGGGGTCTACCGGAGGGGGACCGGGAGCAAGGAAGAGCGGCGGGGGCGGGGGAGGGGCAGAGTGGTAGGGGAAGAGGCGGTAAAAGGGAACCGACTCGTCAAACGTGACGTCCTGAGAAGGGAAGACACGACGCGAGGTGGGGTGGTAAAACTGCCAGCCAGGCGCGTCGGGGACAAAGCCAAGGAAGACACAGGGGATAGCACGGGGGGAGAGCTTGTCCGCTGACGTATCGTGAACAAAGGCACGAGATCCCCAGACCCGGAACACCGACGCATTGCCCACCTCCCCCGTCCAGCGCAGTGTGGGCGAGGTCTCCGGCAAGGAGACACGGGGCCAGAGGTTGAACTGATGCGCAGCGTACCGGACCGCAAACGGCCACAGAAAATGGGGAGCAGCCGCATGGATCATGGAGGTACGAGCGACCTCCATGACTAAGCCAATGCGGCGCTCAGCAATCCCATTTTGCTGAGGGGAGTCCGGAAGCGTGAACGACCGGAGAATGCCCTCCCCACGACAGAAGTCCCGTAAGAGTTTGGAGGAGAACTCACCACCTCTGTCAGAGTGCAGACTCAGGACAGGAAGGTCCTGGCCGAACCGCTCGCGGAGCTGGAGACGGACTGTGCGGATCCAAGGGATCAAGACATCAACGACCTGACCCTTGCTGCGCAAGGGGAAGACCGTGGTGTACCACGTGTAGTCGTCAACTACCAGCAGAAAGTAGCGCTCGCGGCTCTGTCCACTGACGCTGGCTGGGCCCCACACATCCATGTGGAGAGTCTGCAGGGGAGCAGTCGTCGAGGGAAACGAGGAGGAGTGAGGAGCGGCGCGCTGCCGCCCCTCGACGCAAGGGAGGCAGGGCGGGGCAGGCGAGGGCGGCAGGGGAGGCAGAGACATGGGGAGGCC